TGAAAACGTGCGAGATAATGTTTCAAAGCAAGTATTGTTGCTCATCACACGCTTGGACAAAGATTTTCGCGATCAAGTCTTCTCTCAGTCAGACAAAGAAATGATCGAGGACACCAGGCTGATTACCGATTTGAAGACCACTGCAGTTAGAATAAAGTTGAGAGGTGCCATCCCTATTTCGAATATAGAAGGAGCGAAGTATAGTATAACGACGCTACGCAAAATAATCCTATCCGTTAACGAGGTTCCGGACGAGACCATAATTCTTCAATTCGAGGAATTTCTGGTACGGCTGGAGCAAGTGGTCAGAAACAAAAAGAATGATGATTACGACAGCAAAGAGCTTATGAAGTTATTTTTGCGCAGCGACAAAAAGTTCTGCAAAGGAATTGAGATGATTATCCACTCCATTTGTGTGTCCGCTGTGAAAATTTCTGTGGAATCAGTGATTGAATCATTGACATCAAAGTTTGAGATCCACTTCAATAAATTTAGAAATGTGAATGAGGATATCGCGTACATGGTCCTTCACTAGCCCAATGTGATAAAGTTGTGATGACGGCTATTTCAAAGGGCAGCATGGCATTCGCTTTGTAAGAAGATCGAATGACATCAGCCTATTTGACACAATGTGTGTATCTAACAATTCTAAGGTTGTAAACAGAATGCTGCAATACATGGATAAGTACATAGTTATATAATGCTGATGAGTGATGACTGCATCACTGCATGATCAGTGATAACAGAAACTCAGAAAGATAAATTTTCAACTAAACAATTTCCCAGAACAGCCAGAATGAAAAACATTATTTCAATGATGTTAGAGTCATAGTGTCATTGATGTTCCTGTCGAGTGTAGTGTAGCTACTTTTTAAAAGTATAAAGTTTGTTTTCACATTAGTGCTTGTTCTCTTAGTTATAAATAAAAAAATTCCCGCAGGAAATTTTTAATTAGTTTAGCAGGAAATTTCTATTTTTGGATTTTGCTGCTAGGAAGAGAAAATTTATTATTTATAAAATACTTTATCCAGGCCTGTTGGTAACTAGCGTCTGGTGGTCGACCAAGTCGAAGGCTTTGCGGAAATCAACAGTTCTTACCGACCATCCAGTACTGTCGGTGGTACTGAGCCAATGATGGAGCATGGAGATGAGTGCAAGGGTAGTGGATGAGCCAGGAATAAAGCCATACTGGTTGGGATCGATAGATGGTAACACTGTAGGTTTTAAGGATTTTCAATGATATAGGATTCAGCAATCTTAGACAGTGTGGACGTAAGTGAAATAGGTCTTAAATCCTTATTAAAGCCACGTATTGTAGTAGCCTTGGGAATTGGTGGAATATTGGCAAGCTTCCAGACTCGAGGGACTTTACATTCTGCAAAGGAAGAGTTAAGAATGTCGGCGACTGGTGCAGCCAAGATGTCAGCAAATTCCCTCAGCATCCAATTAGGAAGATCGTCTGGGCCACATGCACGAGAAATACTCACAGCTCGAAGTTTTCTGGCGACCGAAAACTCGTCGATAGATATTGGTAGATGACCGTAGATCGCCATCTGTAGGAATGTAATCACGATCAGATAGGGGCGCATAATCTTTCATCACACTTAAGAATGCATCGTTGATCTTTCCCGCCAAAAGTGACTCGTCATCACATGCTAAATCAGCATGGAGGATGGATGATAGATCACGCCCAGTACATTTGGCAGTACCACATAACTGTTTGACTTCGCGCCATCAATCACGAGGTTTGGTATCGCCCAGATCCTTAACTTTAGACTCGTAATAAGCACTACGGCCCCGGTTTACTTTATTTCTTAGGATCTTATAAAGGGATTCATTATTTGACGCAAGGGCCTTTTGGCGATGAGTGATAAGACCCTTTAATTGGGCACTTAACCAAGGTCGATCTATCATGACTTTCACTGGCAGTTTAGGCATAATAATGTCCAATCCGAGATTGATAAGTTCCGTAAACAACTTAAGTTTCTCCTCGCACGACTGCAGGGTAGAAAATAAGTTGGACCAAGGAAGTTGGAGCAGGAACCGACCCATACTCACCACTTTACTTGGTTTCTTATCTCTTGCGTTGATGATCTTGTGCTGAGGTTTGCTTGATTTTTCCGATTTCCTGCACTCACCAATACCGTCAGATGATCCGAGAGGCCGAACGCGGGCAACCTCCTGGGACAAGAGTAGAACTCAGACAGATTGGTGAATATTTGATCTAACAATCGCTCCCCCCTGGTAGGGAAATCTACCATAGGCTTTAATTAGAAGGATCTAACAGCCACTCTAAACAGAGGCATAAGAGTCTTATTAAAGTCTCCCGCCATAATGATTGCGCTATTAGGATATTATTATTATTATTATTGATCTTTAAACACGGTAACCTTTCACATAGGTGATTTTCAAAGGGCCGTGCGGAAAATAAATGCATTATAAAAGAAGGAACTAATAAACTAACTTATACTTATTTACAAAATATACTTATTTACTTATTTACTTATTTACAAGATGTAATTATTTAATTGATGATGGACAGATTTTAAACTTGTTGATTCTCTTAGGGTTTTCAACAAGTTTACTGGGATGTTGTTCCAATACGCTGCTCCTCTGTAAGAAAAGCTATTTTTCAAGAAATTCGTTTTTGGTTTAGGTTGAGACAGCTTTAAATTACTACTGCGCAGTACGTAACCATTGTTTTCACAAGTGTGAAATAGTTGTGTTACGTATTCTGGAAGCATGCCATTAATCGCTTTAAATGTCATAAGGAGATCTCGCTTTTTCAAAATTAAGTCAAGAGGTTTCCAGCTAAGTTTTTGAAAAATGTCCGAAGATCTTATAGTATAGTCCGAATTTGTTATTATTCTTGCTGCTCGTTTCTGAAGCTTATATAATTTGTCTAAGTGTGATTGGTTGTTATTTTGCCAAACAGTTGAACTGTAGTTAAAATGAGGCGCAACTAATGCGTTATACATAATTTTGAGCGTATCTAGGCCAACAAAATCTTTGGCTTTTCTTAAAAGATTAATATTTTTTGTTATCTTGTTGCATGGTTCTTCATTTTGCCTATTCCAGCTAAGTCTATCGTCTATAACTATACCCAAAGCTTCCTTTTTATAAACTCGTTCAATTTGATGTCCGTTTATACTGATTTTTGGCACGTGATCTAAGTTTTTCAATCGTTGCCGAGATCCAATAATCATATATTTGGTTTTTCGTTGTTTAATGTTAGTTTATTCGCTGATAACCATTTTTGAGCATTTACTAGGTCTTTGTTAAGTTTGTATTCAATATCTATGGATAAATGCCCTTGACATGATAAAATTGTGTCATCAGCAGATAAATTAGAATGTGTTGTTTCTAGGCAGTTTGGGAGATCGTTTATGTAAATGAGAAATAATAGAGGTCCAAGATTTGAACCCTGAGGTACTCCACAACGAATTGTTTCAACATCAGATTTACAGTTATTTAGCATGCAAATTTGCTTTCTTTGATCTAAATACGATTGGAACCATTTGAGCGTGTGGTCGCGTATCCCATAAGCTTGTAGTTTTGACAATAGAATCTGGTGATCAATCGTATCAAATG